CAGCTTGTTTTAGGCCTTGTGGTCTTCCTACTTCCCTTTGCCCCCCCTTCTCTTCGGACAGCTGTTATGCCAATACACATATATTCAGGTCTTCTCATCTTTGGAACAGGGATTGCCACAGCCCTAATGGGAATTACAGAAAAACTTTTTTTTAGTCTGTAAGTATTTATTTGGATGTCACTAATGTTTTTAACAATGACATTTACTAATTGACTATTGTTAATTGTTTCCTTAATTTTAACTTATTTTTCTCTGAAGGAAAACACCTCCCTATAGCAGTTTCCCAGAAGAAGGTATTTTTGTCAATGCTCTGGGTGTCCTGATTGTCGCCTATGGGGCTGTAATTTTGTGGATAGCTACAAGGCCTCAATGGAAGCGCCCACCCGAACACATTTTCCTAGCCCATCAAAGAATTGGAGAAGAACTCAGTGATGATGACTGTCATAATCCAGATTTGGAGTTCAACAGTGATGGAGCTGCTAGGAAAAGAAATCCCAAACCTGATGAAGTTGGACAGAGATCAACTACGTAAAGAAAGTATATAACAACATTTGCAATGAAGAAAACTCACTCACCCTATTCTCTCCCAGCTCTTCGACACATTATACTTTGCTTTATTAAAGAATTTTCTGAATAAATGAGAAGAGTTAGTAAAGGCTAATTTTAGAAATATCTATGTTCATATGGTGCCACTATGGTAACTTGTACTGTATTTCTTGATAATTTTGGGGGGGGAAACCCTGAAATTATCACCAGGTCAGCTGCATGAAATACTTTTTCATTGATTTTGACTGATGGAACTACAAAATAAACAATTAGGTTTCAGATATTGGAAGAAAGTTATAAAGAAAAAAGCACTCCAGTGAATAAAATGGATAAATACCTTGATACTTGTTATGGAAAAAAGTTCAAACTTGTTTCCATAATACTATGGAACTTCTGGCCATCTTGCATGATTGATTCCACAATTCATTCTTAATCATTATTTCTTGACTTATGATGTTGCTTTCCATTGGCACTGGTGAAAGAACTATGTGTTCTGCTGTTCAATATTATGATTATGGTGGCCAGAAAGAGAAGGAAGAGACAAAGCAAGTGGTTGTGTGGGTGATAATTTGATTGCCCTGTCTAGCTTCTTTTTTTCACATAGGTGCCAGCTTCTCATACAAACACATCTTCTGATATCATAATAGACATTATTGCTATAAGGCAATCAGTATTGTTTTTGCACAACCACATTTAAATGAATGTTGGCTTTATTCAGTATCTCCATTATTTGGATTAAATATTTTGTTGGAGTGATTGCAGATTATAAGGGAATGCAGTGTAAACTCGAACAGAATAGAATAGAATAGAGCTGGAAGGGACCCTGGAGGCCTTCTAGTCCAGCCCCCTGTACAAGCAGGAGAGCCTATACTATTTCAGATAAGTGACTGTCTAGACCAGGGGTCTCAAACTCGCGGCCTGTGGGCCAATTGCGGCCCGCAGGACGATATCCTGTGGCCCCCACCGTGATATGAAAGTATAATATTAGTGCGGCCCGCAGGGGGAATGGACCTCTGAAGGAAGTCCCGCCCGCCGTTCCTCGTCGTGGCTTCTTCTCCACCCTGAACTTTAACAAGTCCAAGTACAGGTCCAGACTTTCTGATGATCATCTTCAAGCCATACTGAGGGTCTCAAGTGCCTCCTCTCAAGCCAAATGTGGCTCAGATATGTGAGAGGAAGCGTTGTCAAGTCTCTGGCAGCAAGGAGTAAGCTGGAGAAGCCATGTTCTGAGGAACTGTTCATGATCTTCATTCAATGTTCCATTCATGTGTTCAGGACAGTTCATGTATTGGAGAAATCATTAACTGTTGATGACATTTGAGGATATTTTTCTAACAATGTTTTTTGTGGAATCCCTTATGCGGCCCAGCCTCACCCAGACTCTGCCTCCAGCGCCCCCCAGGTAAATTGAGTTTGAGACCCCTGGTCTAGACTCTTCCAGAGATGGAGCACCCATGATTTCTGGAAGAAAGCTGTTCCACTGGTTATTGTCCTCACTGATAGGAAGTTTCTCTGAAGTCTAGACCTAACTAAACCTAAACTAGATATAACTAAATTAAAACTGTGCTACTGTAAACTCTTATTCTTAAAGAATGTCATTTCAACATATGTACATTCAGGAATGTTGAAAGGGGAGGGGGAAATGAAATATTTTTTTCATGGATAATACATGGTTTTTCATGGATAATACATGTTTGGCAAAGAGCAAGCCTTCCCTCTGATCTCGTTTTCCTCAATGAACAACTGAAGCTGTTGCATTAAATTCTAGTTCTTCTGAACTGATGATAGTTACTACACATTTCGATAAGCTACTTATTTTTAGGAGGAAGAGCATTTACTTTATGCTTAGATTTCAACAAGCTTTCTTCAGAAAAACTATACAATATTGAAAATAATTTGGACATTCAACCTCCATTTTATGATGCTGTGTTTTAGGATTGTCCAATTTATTTGTTTTATGTTTTGATCTGTTAGATGTGCAAAAGATCAGGTCCACAGTGGAGGTTCAATTAAACTTATTGCTAAAAGCCTATTCACAGGAAACTTCTTAGCTAACATGTAAGAGGTAGATAAGGGTCAACAGCATTGGGGGGGGGGATCTTGGACTTAGTTCTCTTGTGACTACATATAGATTCTAGACTGATCCCCCTTTTCACTCCACCCCCCGTTTCTTCCATCTCTTCTACATGATTCTCCTTTTATAGTGTCAGGTGACATCATTAATCCTAAACTGGCCCTCCGTGTGGTACTGCCAGCTATAAGCCAAATCTGTAGTGCTTACATTTTCCCAAGGACATTAAATACAAGCTTATATAGAGGATTCATGGCGTTTTCTTTTTGCTCTTCATAACTTTATTTAGAAATTATTGAAGCTAAAAATGCCATCTACTTTTACTTTTTAGTTTAATAATAACTAGCTAGACTGAGATACCCTTTAGCTATTGTTACAGAGGATGAGCCATGGTGGCACAGTGGTTAGAGTGCAGTACTGCAGGCTACTTCTGACTGCTAGCTGCCTGCAATTTGGCAGATCAAACCTCACCAGACTCCAGGTTGACTCAGCCTTCCATCCTCCCAAGGTGGGTAAAATGAAGAGCCAGATTGTTGTGGGCAATAGGCCGACTCTAACCCACTTAGGGCTGTAAAAGCACTGAAGCGGTATATAAGTAAGTGCTATTGCTATGTTACACAGAATAAAACATGAAACAATCTTATTCTAGGCAATATTGAGAAAATATATTCAGCACATCCTTGATTACATTTTGAAAAGACCATCTAAATATTTCTGGACAGTATGGCATGGAGTATGTAATGGGACTTTAGGGAAGCTAATCAGATTTTTGAATGATCAATTGCAGCTCATTTGGAGAAAAGTTCAAAACAACAGCAGCAAACAGATTCTTTTAAAAAGTACTCTTTTCTCAATACTTTTAACTGACTTTTAAATAGATTTGGCTTTTACTCTTAATTTGTAATGTAAATTAAAACATTCTAGTGACATCTCAAAAAATTACTACCTAGTTTCTGAAAGAAAAACAAGAAGATATTTCATGTCAGTGTCCTTATCCTGACTAGTTTGCTATTGTGGACAGGAAAACAAAGTGAGCAGTTAATCTGCCAACTTTATGTGCCAGAAATTGTCTTTTCTATCCTGTTTTGCTGCTGGTTACAGTGTGAGGCATTATAAGAGTGATCTTAGGAAACAGTGGCCTTCCTCAGACTTCCTTTTCAAACAAGTTGGGATTACAACTTCCAAAATGAAAATAATGAGTTGATATCTCAATATTAGGTGAGAACTGCTGTACTGTAAATGATAAGCCCCATCCCAAACATCTTCATAGCCATTTTCTATGATAACAGCTTTAGAGAAGCCAAGGTTCTTCTCAGCATATTAGCTTAAATGCTCAGTAGGTTAACAGTAGAAGATGTAAAACTTTGCAAACTCCGATCTCTACAGAAGACAGTGGGAAAGAAAGAATGTGCCTTTATATTTTGAATTTTTAAACTAACGTGGCAGAATTATTGACACCAAAGATTGTTTTATGGAGTGTTTCTCGACCTTGGTAACTTCTACGATGTATGGACTTTATCTCGAATTCCCCAGCCAGCATGCCATAGATCTTAAAATTGCCAAGGCTGAAAAACACCAGTCTGATATATCAGTGGCTGTATGTGATCCACATCTCTAAAAGAATGCATGCTGTACTATATATTAGAATAAACAGTATAATTTTAATAAAAAGCAAACTTGGATATTGCCAATATTACCATAGAAATATTTGGAAATCCATTTGAATATATGGGATCAGTAGTACTTTGTAAAGTAAAAATTTTGTAACTATTTTTATATTACAATAAAAGCTATTGAAGAATCTACAGTGTTCTATGCTTGTAAGAATTGCTAAAGTGTATGCTGATTTGAAATAGAATGTGGAAATTGCACAGGATGAGTGACAATCATTTTTTTCTCTGTTAGAATAGGTGGCAATTCCTTCTTATCTAATATTATTAAGATGTGTTGATTCCTGAGCCTCTGAGTGGATTTTGAGGATAAACAGAAGTCTGTTACATGAATACTTTACTCGGGCAATTTTGGATTTTTGTCCTAGAATTACAAAGGTTTCAGCTGAATTCATCATTTACACACATTATTTTCTTTTTCCATTTATAGGAACCAAGGAGTCATGATACCTTCAGGATCTGAATACAATGCATAACCATAGCTGGTTAGGCATATTGAATCTTAAAACACTCAAGGGTTGTTTAGGAATTAATACAGGCAGCTTATTAACTGTTAAAGTTATCATGCCAAAAGTAGTTGAAGATTCTTTTCAGCTGGTGAGAAAGATGGCAAAATGCCACTACATAAGATAATGTATATGTGTTGATTTATTTTCTTATAATGAAAAGAAACCTTATTGGCGATCATATATTAAATCAAATATTAACTTTCACACAACAAAAAATTACAAGGAAACAAAGTAATCCAACGGTAATAAACTACAGTGATTTCCATTCTACCAGCAGTTTGTGTTAATTGGACCACATGAAGATAATTAAACTGTCAGTTATTTATCATACTAGTTCCCTCTATTTTCACAGTTGCAATTTAAATAAGTTAAAGTACTATACTTTTTTAATGTAGCAAAAAATTAAGAAAGCAATTGGATTTATTTTGCATTGATCATATGCAATGTTTCAGAAACCCCAAAGTAAGGATTGCCTTATCATAAGAATGAGTCAGGATCAGAATCATGACCTTAGTGATTATACCACATACACACACACACTCACACACACACTTACAAAATGCAAGCTCTTAATCAGGGTACAGCAGAATGTAAATTGTACACTTGCAGTCATGAAATTCCCTTGCCAAGAAACCTTTATTGTTATTTCAGTCCCTGAGGGAGATTTCTTTTTTCCCCCCTGTCTGTAGGGCTCTAATGTTTGGACAATAAGGCTGGGCACTGAGTGTGCTGTCCCAGCCAGTCTATGGGAATTGGATAGTTACTTAGGAATTATGAGCTGTCCCCTTAAGGGAATGCATCATGGTAAATGTAGTTAAAAGTATCCTGGGAAATGTAGTTCATGTCACGTGGCCACATCTGTAATCCCGATTGGTCACTAATTTAACCCTCCATGGGTTGGGGGAGTTTTTGCTCACTTTTCCCTGAACTCCC